GTTCAAGATCATTTTTCCTTCTACAAGCTAGCTTTATGATTTATGAAGAGTCTGCAAATAAAACAAATATTAATTGGTTTAAAAGAAAGACAATTAAAGCTTTTATTATTAATTTTTTATAGTTTTAAAGAAGAACCATGCAAATGAATTTTTCTTTCCTGGAAATAAAAATAACAATTTCTGTATGAAGTTGATTGCTGAAGAAAGAGTTTGTGACATGCAATTGGTTACTGTTGGACACTGGAGTTAGGGTTACAAAGTAAGAAAAATCATGTGCAAACATTTTTGGGATTTTAGTAAGTTCGGTACACAATTTTAAATAATAATATATCTAGTTTCAAGAAATTTTATTTATTGAAGACACACACACAACAATTGATGCACCACACAGTGATTACATCAGGTAAAATGCATTTGAAGAAGTTTTAGTAATTGACGTTCGCGCAACAATTAAAAAGAAATAAATATAGTAAAAAATAATTAATATCGTAATAAAATAAATATGGAAAGCCATTACAATTACACTTCATCAATAACAGAAAATCGCGAAGGCACATTGTAACACATTTGTGCACTTGTATAATTATTTCACGTTTATCTGCGTTGTGATGTAAAGTGCGTTAATCGTCATTTTATAATTCAATTATTTTACTTGCTTTTTAATGCAAGTTTTTTTTGTATTTCATAATAACTTATTTATATAAGAGTGAAATTGATTAGTAGTTTCTTTTAGGTGTTTAATGCCTTCCAGAATTAACAGTGTAATTAATTTTTTTTTGCTCATTTCTGCAGATTGTTCAAGTGGGAGAAAATTAAAGTTCACTTTGGTTGCACCTTAGTAACTAATTTCGACATGGACAGCATTATGCAGTTAATTTTGGGCTGATTAAAGAAAACAAGTGGAAATTTGTTTGGAGACTATTAATCATGTCATTTTTCGTGGGTTTGGCTTGCTCTTCACACTTGTAAAACTTTGGAAGGATGCATTCTACAGTTAAACAAGGTGAGAATAAATGATATAATTAATATTAATGCTTTTTATTAATCTGTTATGGTGTTTATTTTAACAATTATCTATTGTCAATAAGATAAATTGACATTATCTTGCATCTATAATTAATTCACATTTATCTGCGTTATGATGTAAAGTGTGTTAATCGTCATTTTATAATTCAGTGATTTTACTTGCTTTTTAATGCAAGTTTTGTTGTATTTCATATCTTATGTGAGACTGTAATGAAAATGACATTATTTACACCTACCTGTTTCTTTTTCAACATTTAGAGTATGTTGGGTTGCCTAACCACACGTTCAGTTTCTGGTAATTAATTTTTGTACTTGAAAAAGTGACCTTTCATTCGTCCGACAGGTCCGGACTAAAACTTTTTAGGAGATGGTTGCTAAATACAATTAATATTTTTTGTGAATGTTGAACTTAGTTTTAAACTTTTAATTATAATGCTTAAGTGAATGTGTTGAATGAATTCCACAAGATTAATAATAACTGCACAAGTTTATTTTACCAATTAATCTTTTAAATATTTTTCATTTTTATTATACAGAGTGTTTAGTAACTGAACATGCAAAATAACGTGATTTTAGATAGAGCTTAATTTAGGAGATATTCGGTTTTAGAAAATACTTTTTATTTTATTTAACAATCAGCAGTGATTTTATACTAATTTAAAAAAAGCAAATACATATAAGTTATTACGTCGTTGAATACTACAATAGATATTCAAAAATAGCAACGCAAACTACTACATTGTAAATTGTAAATTTAGTGTTCTGAATTGTATGCACTGAATTTAAAATCTATCGTTTAATTGCTCAATAGTGTTAATTGGCTGAACATAAACTAATTGTTTTAAGTGGTCCCATAAAATGTCTGAAGGATTGAGTTATAAATAACTTTTATTGAAATGTATTTCCTTTTTTTCTACTTTAGAATAATAAATGAATTGTTAAATAAAATATTAAAGTATTTTTTAAAACTGAANAATTTTCATTTGATTGTGTGGAATATGTTTCTATTTCGTGATTGATGGGTTTCGATTACCGTTGCTTAGATCTTTTTTGACGTGATGTCTTCGTGCTTCAACATGGGATTCCATCTTGGCATCTTGCCCGTTCGTTCATCTACTGTGAATTTTTATAAACTCTTAATTTATTTGAGGTCGAATAATTATGGTTTTATTAGAATTTTTAAATTTTCAAAAGAAGTTAAGGCGATGATTGTAGATTTTTCGTATCGATGTGACCACGCCTCGAAAAATTGCCTTCGTTTTATAGCCAAAATGTGTAAAATATTTCTCAAAAATATTACTCTGCCTTCAAAAATTCTTTATTTCTATTAGAAAAATTTTCATTTTTGCCTCGTTATTCTAGAGTTTTAACTCGTTTTTTTTTTAATACAGGCTTGCTGTGAGATAACAACCTAGGATTTGATGGACAAAACTACTACAGATGTAATGTCTGTAACAGTGTGACTTATTTTATTTCCAAAAAATGCCACTAATGGGCTGATTGAAAAATTCATTGGACATAAGATGTTAACAATGGTAATTATCATTAATAATAAAATAACAAAACCTAGTGAACATATAAGTAATATTAAATTGTTTCAAAAGGTTTCCATTAAAACATAAAGATGAACATGAGGAGGTAAATCGAAAGGAGTCGAAACGTGGAGAAACAGAGCCCTCACTCACACTTTCTTCTCTTGGACTTGGAAATGACAGTTGCATTTATGAAATGGTTTGTGAATTTTTAAATCTTGTATTTCGTTAGTTTGACAATAATTACTACTACAATTTTTTACTCATCTGAATTGTAGTTTGATATTTTATAATTTTATTGATAGTAGTTATGGTTCTTAATATTTTAATACATAACATTTAAGATTAAAGTAACATTAAATTGTTTCAACAGGTTATCATTTAAACACGTTAAATGAACAAGGAGACAAGTAAAAGGATTCGAAATCTGGAGAAATGAAGCCCCGTTAATGTATTTTAGAAAAAACATGCGGTCCAATTCACACTTATGTATATAAGGTTGCGCATGTGATGTTGTGTCGTTTGCTCTGTGGCTCATTTCACTATCAATGGTATCATTATTCCTTTCAAAAGTATCTATTGTTAGAGGGACTCTCTGCTGTCAACGCTTAGGAATAAAACTCGAGCATCTTCGGTAATCCTCGAGGTAAGCAATTGTTTTACTGTTCTTTATTATCACAGTAATTTGGCATCTCTAGCATCCATGGTTTTCCTTCTGACAGTTATGTATTATCCACAGCAACTTAGCCGTGTATCTGTGATATTTGGTATTTCTTTTAACAAATATCTATTGCCTACATCATAAATTAGCGTTGTATGTATCTATGATTAGTTCCAATTAGTTCGCAATATTTATCTATGCTATGATGTAAATTGACAGTTGTCACCATCTTATAATTCTGTCATTTTATTTGCGTTTTGATGCATGTTTTGTTGTATTTCGTATCTAATTTATGTGACGGTGTAATTAATTAGTACTTTATTTTAGGTGTTTAATGCCTTCCGTAATTAATAGTGTAATTAATACGTTTTTTGTTCATTTCTGCAGATTGTTCAACAAATGGGAAAGAAACAAAGTTCAGTTTGGTCCTGCTGAAACAACCAATGTCTACATGGGCATCATCTTTCCTGGATTGTTCTCTTGATTAGCTGTTTACATCTTTGGTTTACAACATTATGAAGTTAATTTTCAACTGATGTGTGAGAGCAACTGGAGATTAATTTGAATTCCATGGAAATAACAAATTTTCTGCGATAGTATTCCTGCTGGATTTGCTTTGCTTTTTACACCTGCAAAGTTAGGAATGTTACAATCTACAATTAATTAAGGTGAGAATACTTGATATAATTAATTTTAATTGAAGATGTATTAGTATGCAAAGTACATATTATCTCATCTTTTGGTACAAAATAACCACATATTGTATAAACCTAATAACTTTATAAACGCTTAAAATTCTGAATAATTATTATACATCAAGGTCATTAATAATTCGGGCATAGGTGAATTAAACCACAGAAACTGTTTGTTAATATTACTATATATAATTACTAGAAAAACTTTAATTGCGTGCAATTTTTTTAAAAATAACAATAAGGTAGTTCTAAAATGTTATACTGCAATTAGCTAGTTTCTTAATTTCATTCGTTTAATGTTTAAAAATTCAACTTGTCCGTTTGGTCGAATTTTATTATACCCAAAAATGCATATATATATATGTTTGCGAGTAGTGATCAGGCGATGGAACTTGCACGAAGCAAAAACGCAGATAAATTGAATTCTGTAAAAC